TTGCTCCGATGTGCCATGTCCGACAGGCATTGGTGAGGCCAGCCCTTAGGGGACCTTCGGCGGAGGGGGCCTTTGCCACTGGGGCTCGGCGGCGCCGGCGGAACCATGGCAACCGCCCAGGGAGGTGGGACCGGGCCGTGGGAGGAGCTGGAGCAGGAGGAAGAAGAAGAAGAGGCTTTCTGCGCTGCCCGAGGTGAGGCCGAGAGTGTAAGGGAGACAGGGAGCTCCTGGAGCGGGGCCAGCAGAGATGCTGAAGGGCCTGGAGCGTCTCTGTGCCCAGGAAAGGCTGAGGGAGCTGGGGCTGCTCAGCCTCGAGAGGAGCCCCAGCTGAGAGGGGCCCTCAGCCCTGGGTGTCCCTGTGAGCAGGGAGGGCTCCGAGCAGGGACCAGGAGGAACGGGCAGGAACTGACCCCAGCAAGTTCCACCTGGACACGAGGAAGAACTTTCTGGGTAGTGCCTGAGCCCTGGACAGATCCCAGAGAGGGTGTGGAGTCCCCCTCACCGGAGATACTCCAGAGCTGTCTGGACACACTGTGTGCTATGTACTCAAGGACTGCTGGAGCACGGAGGTGGCACCCAGTGACCGCTGTGGTCCCTTCCAGGCTGGCCCATTCTGGGAGAGGCAAGAGGGACCAAACCGGCCCTGTCCTGCTGCCCTTCGTGCTCAGAGTTCGGGCCTCGGCCGTGCCCCCCTCGCGGCAGAAAAGCGGCTCTGAAGGGCACCGGGCACGGCCCTAAACCCCAGCCAGCTGTGCTGCCGAAGCGCTGGAAGCCGCCGGTCGCTCCGGCAGCGAGGGCTCAGCCCGGGTTACCAGGAGATCCAAACGCTCTTTCCCACAGATCCAAAGAGCTGCTCACGTTTGTGTTTCTCATCTTCATAGAATCCCAGAATGGTTTGGGTTGGATGGACCTTAAAGCTTCTCTCGTTTCACTCTCTGCCACGGGCAGGGACACCTTTCACTACATCATGTTCCTCCAAATCCCATCCAGCCTGGCACTGGAAATTGTCACTATTAAAAACATTACTGCATGTTTGATTTTCCTATGTGATTTTTTACAAAGGAGGCAGTGTTTCCAGTTCTGCCTCAAAGTAGCTTTTCAACATTAATGTGATTTTTCTTGGTGTGGAGAAATACATTGATTTTGGGGGGGTAAAATGTTACTTTGCCTTATTGCAGTCTGTAGGGCAGTTGGAGATCACATTTGACATATTTCCACTCGTTTAACACCAAGGTAAAAGTTACACCTGCACTCAGTGCTGTCCACAGAGTTGGGAAACAGGATCTGCAGCAGATTTGGATATTTAATTTCATAATTCATTTCCCTGGGCTTTAAGGTCCCTTCTGACCCAAACCACTCTGTGATTCTGTGATTTTGCTGAACTCTACTCCTGACAAAAAGACCAGCACTGAGAGACTCTCCCACTTGAATTCCTTTTTCCCTGTTTTCCAGGGAGCATTGCTGAGGGCTCTGATGGAGCCACAGCTGGTGCCACGATGACCTTCAGCGCACAGAAGTGCGGGATCTGCTTCCAGCCCCCATCCATCATCCTCATCTACAGAGACCACGGCCAGGACAAGACTCGCCAGCGCATCATGCCCATCAGGAATTTCTCCAGGTTCTCAGGTGAGGTGCTTTCATTTCTGTCTGGCTCCCTCCAGATGTTTGGAGAGGAACCCATTGGTAGCAGCATTGTTGGTAACCACTGCAAACCTTGTAGCAGCGTGCAGGGAGGGGCTGTGCTGGGGTAAGGTCTCTCCAAGGAGCCCAGAGCTACATCTCAGCCTGAGCAATGGAGGGTTTGGAAAGACCCCTGGGGAGGGTTTGGAAGATGATGTGTGTGTGGGAAGAGGTTTGTTGCAGCTGCAGGTGACTGTGTTGGCTCTCCCCAGACTGCAGCAGGGCTGCTGAGCAGCTGAAGAACAACCCTCGGCACAAGGCCTACCTGGAAGGGGTCTCACTGCGTCAGCTCCAGAAGCTCTACAGTTTGCTGAGAGGTCATTTGGAAGGACACAGCCTGGCTGAGAGCTTGGAAAAGTTTCGGCAGGAAGAGACCATTGACCCAGAGGAGGATATGAACAAATTGGATGATAAGGAACTGGCCAAAAGGAAGAGCATCATGGATGAGCTCTTCGAAAAGAACAGGAAGAAGAAAGATGACCCTGACTTTGTTTACAACGTTGAGGTGGAGTTCCCACAGGATGAGCAGCTGGAGTCCTGTACTTGGGACATGGAGTCAGATGAAGAAATCTGATTCCAGACAAAGATGGGCAGGGTAGAGACAAATCTCAGTAGGCCAGCAAGAGAGAACAGTGTCTTCATATGTGTTTTGTCCCTTGTTGGCTCAGGAGAACCTGAGGTGCCACAGCAATCCCAGGGTTAAGTGAGCTTTGTTTAAGAAGCCAGACTTGATTAAATGGAAACTGGGTAGCTGGGATTGTTGGCTGGTTTTAGTCTTTTCCTACATAAAATAATTTTAAATGATTTAATCTTTCAATTTTTTACATTTCAGTGAGTTTTGGCTGAAAATGAAGCATTAAATATTCATGTCCTGAGGACACTGTTAAAGCTGTATTGTACAAATAGTGTGATTATTATTGCCTACTGGGAAGTTAAATATGTATCAGTCATTCTGGATAAATCAACTTTGCATTGAGAATATTGCTGTCACATTTCCCTAGCAATGCTTAAATCTCCAGTTTTAGCTAACACAAAAGTATGTCCTTACATGTAAGAGAAGGAATATCTTGAAAATTAATTAGTCGTGAAAGTACTTTTGAAAACACATTGATTTCAAACTGCTGCAATGGGGTGGTTTGGACCCTTACACTCCTGGATGATGCTTCCTCATAAGTGCTCACATGCTGGGAGAATGTGCATAAAGTACCTGAAAAACCATAGTGGTAGAAGGTCAAAGGCTGGGGGTGGTTCTAGAGTAAGACAAACTCATCCCACCAAAGGTTTTAATCCAGCTGTCTACCTTGGCTGGTCTCCACTAGATCAGTCCTGCTCTTGTGTAAGAACTGGAGTACTAAGATTAGGATTCTTTGGGAAATTTTACAACTCCAAAAGCTTCCTGAACCCTGTGAGCTGTGGGTGAGATGGGTTTTCATCCCAAATTGAGGGGCCTCAACAAACTGCTGCCTGACGTAACTAAGAGGAGTCACTAGAGGAGCAGCTGGAAGAGCTCTCCTCCTACACCCCAAAATGAGAGTTGCTGCTGTGAAAAACATGGAACAAGTGTCAGTTACACCACAGTGCTTTGCCCTCACTAGAGAGGATGAGGGAGCTCACGCTTGGCCAAGAGGGTCTTCAGTCAGGAGAGAAATGAAAGCTGAGGCCTCACTTGCCAAGATTAAAAAATATGTAAGGACTGACTCAGCTCTCCCAGGACCAGAAAGGGCGTGCAGGAGTCTGGCACAGGTCTCACCTCAACAATTGCAATGTAACAACACAGAAAGATCTCCCACTTGGGAGGGAGAGAGCACCTGGGAACCTCTCCTCCACTCACAGCCTGCCCCCAGCTTTATCCTGGCCAGGCTCAGAAGACATGGCCTGTGCCCAGCCCTGGTCATAGTCTCTTCTCCAATGAGGGCTACGTGAGGCCAAATGAATGCCTGGGTCATGAGGTTCCTGCTGGCCTGTTCTTCCAGCCCACCCCAGACCTTCAGCATGCAGCTGTTTTGGTCTTCCCAGTTTGGGATCCTCTGTGAACTTGACAGGAAGGCATTTTACAGCCAGCTTTAGATAATGTGTATAGACATGAAATGGGACAGATCCCAAAACAGTCCCCTCAGCAGCCTCCTGGTAGAGCACATCCTAATAACCACAGCCCTCTGCACTTCACTCCCACTGCTCCTGACCTGCCTGGCTGCCCTCCCATCCAGACTGTGACATCTGCACTTCTATGAAGAATGTTGTGGGACAAAGCCTTGCCGAGGCAGACAGAATCCACCACTCTCCCCTTGCCTTCAGATCCATCCATTTTATCCCGAGAGGAAAGCAGGTTGGGCAGGCATAACAGCCTCGGCAGTCCGTGCTGACTTCTTCCAGCCACGCTCTTGTTCTAGAACTGTGCTCCAAAGAACATTCATTCCATGGTTTTCCCAGCAGGAAACTGCCCTGTTCTCTCTGGGATTACCTTTTGGCCATTACTGAAGCTGGGTGGGACCCTTGGGCTCTCCAGTGACCAAGGACCTTCCCTGATCACCATGAAACACCCCCTTTTTATCCATGCCCTGGGCAGTGCGAGGTGCCCAGGTTCCTCCCTATGTGTTCTCCCATGTCTGCACCACACATCCCACACTGGATGGAGCAGCAGCATTGGCTGTGGAGATGGGGAAGGACACCCATGCCCCTCTGAACCCAGCCCCAGGGAGAGGGGAGCTCACAGGGGCAGCCGCTCACCCTGCCAGCGAGGAGACACCGGAACACAGCTGGGGGATGGCACAGGGATGTATTTATAGGTCACTGCTGTCCCCCAGGGTGCAGCTTACGGGCAAAAGAAGGATTGAAAGAGGCTGAGGGATTCCCCAGTTGGGGCCTGCTTTGGTTCTGGCTATTTCAGTCTAAAATTGGGGCAGAAAGCTGTCATTTCTGAGCCAGATCTGACAGCTGGGTTTCCAGAGCCTTTACTGCACTCAGCCCCAGTGGAGCTGCTGGGTTGTCTAGCAGTGTCCCACTCATCCATTTTTCCAGCCTTGCACGGCCACCAGTCACACCAGTCTCCCCCCGTGACCCTAGTCCCACACCTGTGCCTGGGAGGGGCTTGTCCTGCAGCCAGCTTTGGCTCCCCCTGCCTGCACCATCCCTGGCAGTCTCCCAGGAAAACCTCCCAGGAAAATCCTCCCAGCTTCAGGCCAGCCTCAGGCATCTCCCTCCAGCACCTCTCAGGACAACTCCACTGGGCTTGAGCCCCCTGGCACACCCCACATCACTGAGCCCACCCACACCTGGGCAAGGACAAGTCCCCTGAATTCCCACTCCAACACTGCTGCACGCTCCCCTGTACCCCATTCCCATTAAACATGTTTCACTAGAAAAATCCCAACAGTGCCCAGGAATAAAGCCACTCCAGTTCTCAGAAGGGCTTTTGGGTTATCACAAACCACCATCACTTCTCCTTTCCCCTCAGTGATGCCCGCGGAACAGAGCAGAACTTCCCCAGGTAGTGCTTGCTGCTCTGGGAGAGCCAGGGTGTGCTGTGAGGAGCTGGGTGAAGGAAACCCCCAGGCACTGCTGGAGCGACCGCCCGCAGGAGCAGGGCTTGCACAACAAGGAGGAAGGATTTCTCTTCATTTCCTTTGTATATTTAATCCAGCAGTCACTGGAGAAATATAAATCCATGATAAAACATCGCTGAGGGATATAATTTACCCTCCTGCTTTTCAATCGGTATTTCCCATTAGTAACTTGGGCTGTTTTTAATGGACTTTCTAACCCAGTCTGTGACTTAGTGAAGAAACAACACCCCAAAACGTGTCTTTCAGCCCTACCCAGCGCCTGTCTTTATCAGCACGTGCATATGGTGCATGATCAGGGCTGCCTGCATGTTTGGCAGTGCCAGCAAGAGCAGTGTGGAAAGCTGTAGCTACAGAGACCCTTCTCCGCAGCGCCCAGGTGATATTTCTTCCAGCCTGGAACACTTTGTGGAGGCTGGTTGCAGATCTGGAGGACATTTTGAATTGGCTACAGGTGGGAATAAATAAAAGGAACTGCTGGAAGGAGTGAGGGAGGGGGAAAGCAGTGCTGGAGAAAACTGTCACAGAATCCCAGAATGGTCTGGGTTGGAAGGGACCTTAAAAACCCATCTGGTTACAACAATAGCCATGGGCAGGGACACCTTCCTCTAGATCAGACCACTTCTAGCTCACTCCAACCTGGCCCTGAGCACTTCCACAGATGGGGCATCCACAGATTTTCTGGGCAACCTGTCCTTTCAGCCAATGAATGTTTGATGTCGTGTCCACTCAGCTCTCACCAACACCAGCTGAAGGTTTCTGCTGAAGACATGTTCCTTGTGGATTCCCAGCGCTACATCACCAAACATGGCCCACATCCTTTGGGTACCATTAGGGCAGGAATGGCAGCTCTCCCTGCACCTCCTGTCCTGCATCCATCAGGTTTCCATCCTGACCACCTCGGAGGGGTTATCACCTGTACTCCTGAGCACCTGCTGTTACTGGCTATTCCTGAGCCCTTCCTCAGCCATTAGTAAGGGCTCGACACCCCACACCGGGTTTTCACCATTTTCAGCAGCTTCTCCTTGAGCATGAGGAAGATGACAACAAAGGCCACCAGGAGCGTCAGGCAGGTGGGCAGAGCCAGCACCAGGTAGAGCAGCACCAGGTCGGCCGTCTGCCATCGGCAGCTCTGCAGGACGGGCTCGGGCAGCGCGCCGGGGCTCAGCGCGTGGGAGCCGTGGCTGCAGGTCACCTCCTGCCCGTCGGGGACACGCAGCCCCTCCACCTGCTGCAGGGCGTCCCACCAGCCCAGCATGCAGCAGTTGTAGGGGTTTCGGCTGACGTAGAGCTCCCGCAGGCTCTTCCCCAGCGGTACCTGTGCCAAGTCCGGCGGCAGCGCCGGGAGGCAGTTGTCCCGCAGGTCCAGGCTGCGCAGCCTCAGGGTACCCAGTGAGCTGGGGAACACAGCCAAGGAATTCCGGGAAAGGTCCAAGCGCACGAGGCTGTTCAGGGCAGAGAAGTCCACAGTGGTGGAAGAGAGACTGGTGTTCCTCAGAGACAGCACCTGCAGTGTCAGGACAAGGTCCTGCAGCCACCCCAGGTCCCCCGACAGCACCTGGTGGTTGTCAGAGAGGTCCAGATGCATCAGCGATGTCCCCTGGAAGGGGTGGCTGCTCAGCCCCTGCAGACCACAGCCAGCCAAGGAGAGATGGGTTAAGGTCTCCACACCCCTGATGTCCACGCAGGGGAGACTCTCGGCCTCACCTGGCTGGGGACAGAGGTCAACCCGGTTGTGGCTGAGGTCCAGAGTAGTGATCTTTTTGGTGTGGGTGAAAATCCCGGGAGGAAGGGCCTGCAGCCTGTTGGTGCTGAGGTTGAAGAGCTGCAAGTTGGGTAGGATGTCCCCAGCGCCCACCTTCATCCCCAGCTCCACCAGCTGATTCTGGCTGAGGTCCAGGTCTGTCAGCATGGCCAAGGGGTCCTCCTCCGACAGGTGAAATGCCTCCAGGCAGTTCTGGTTGAGCTTTAGGTGAGTCAAGGAGGGCATCTGGGCCAGGAAATCATCTGGCAGGCCCCAGACCTGGTTCTGGCTCATGTCCAGGAGGTGCAGGGAGGAGAGGTTGCTGTGGCAGAGCTCGTCCCAGAGCCTGACCGTCGTGATGTTGGTGGAGTTGCCATCAATGATCAGGAACTGCACAGTGACGTTGGCCAGGGAGGTGCCGTTGGGGAGACGCTGATAGAAGCTCATCCTGTTGTCCTGCAGCAGCAAGGAGTGCAGCTTGCTCTGCTGGGGCAGCACAGGGAAAAACAGGAGGTGGTTGTGGGACAGGTCCAGCACCTCCAGCTCAAAGAGGTCGTCACTTTGCAGGGTCATAAACCACTCAATGACATTGTTGCTGACATTGAGCACCCTGAGCTGGGTCAGGCCAAACCCCACCAGACACGGGAGGTAGTTGTAAGCTATGTTGAGCCTCTG